ATTGTGTAAAAGGACCACATGCTTAGTGTTAATAAATTTGTTAGTGGAGGATGTGCCCAGAGTCACTTTTTGCTTTAATTTTAAGTATTTGTCCTCTAAGCTTCATAAAGAACTGCAATAAGGTGTAAAGCACAATGAAAACTGTAGAACCGGGATACTTAAGTTTTCCCATAATGATCTTAGACCAGAGATCCCCAACCTTTTGGGCACCAGGGACCGGTTCCATGGAGAGAGGTTTTTCCACGGACCGGAGGGTGTGTGGTTTTGTGTGCTGCCTGCATGCCATGGATGGGGCTTTGCTTGTTTGTGTGGACCAGTTGCTGGCATGCCACGGACCGGTACTAGTCCACAGACTGAGGGTTGGGGACCCCCATCTTAAGACTTTTACCAATATAGCTGTTCCGCCCTTCATAACCCTATAGCATCTCTTTTTGCCTTGTAAAAAAGTAGTATCATGTAGAGGTTCCAGATGCATTTCATAGTCTTAACCCATGAGTTCACTTCCTTCAAGTAGGATCCAAAATTTTAACCCATGAGATCACTTCCTTCAAGTAGGATCAATTTTCATCCTTACAAGCACTGCAGCGTCCCTACAATCACATGATCAAAACTCAGATGATTGGCAACTGACTCATATTTATGAGGGTTGCCGTGTCCCGGGGTCACATGATCACTTTTTGCAACCTTCTGACAGCAAAGCCAATGGAGAAGGCAGATTCATTTCACAACTAGGTAACTAACTTACAGCTGCAGTGATTCACAATAATAATAATAATATAATAATAATAATATTAATAAAAAAGTTGGAATGGACCTTGGAGGTCATCTAGTCCAACCCTCTGCTCAGGCAGGAAGCCCTATACCATTTCACTTAACAACTGTGGCATGACAGGTCATAAAATAGGGCAAAACTCATTTAACAACTGTCTCACTTAGCAACAGGAATTTTTGGCTCAATTGTGGTTGTAAGTCGACAACTACCTGTACGAAAGCCTAGGACAGGTAAACCTCCATGTAGACATGAAGCCTCTGAGATTAGTAACCTTCTTAAAGGAAGGTGAGACATAAATGCAATGAACAAGCAAGCGTGCCTAGGCCTTGTACAAAATGGTGGCTTCAGTGAAGATTGTCTTTGGCACTCCTCTCCATTCGTGTTCGGTTTTTGAGTGTTGCTTTTCCATTATTTTCTAATGGAAAATTTACATGCACGACTACTCCCTGTCCTCCAAGATAATACATTTCTCTGCAAGGAAATGATCACCAACATTTGCACAAAAAAAGATGCTGACGCTGAATTTTTCCCTGAATATTAAAAAAGGAACGAAATACTGATAGCAATTCCGCTCATGAAAATCATAGTTGAACAGAAAGACAGTTGTTCAAACCAAGGAGAGCAGTAATTATTGCTTCATATTTATTCTCAGTTACTACTATCTGTTCACATCCACACGGTCTCAGAACACTCAACATATTCAGGTGTTCCTCTAGGAATTTGACTAATCCCCCTTTAAAGCTATCCAGATCAGCAACAGTAAATACATTTTGTAACAGAGAATTTCACTGGCTATATACTCCTTAAAGACCCTCATTTAACCTGCTTTGAATCTCCAAACACCAATCTGTCCAATGCCCTGGATTCTAATTTCATGAGTGAAAAAGACTCAAAAATTTCTAACCACTTTTTAATGCAAAAGGCATCAGGTTAGGAAAAATTGTTGTCACCAATATTTCCTCTTTCCCCCCCAAACTATAAGAAACTTTGTTCTCTTCTCTCATGCAAAATAACTACAGTTCCTGGATTCTTTATGTTGCCCTTTTTAAAAACCCTTTCCATCAATACAGATTTCCAAAGGAAGATGTATGGATTGTACTACTTGTTTCAGATGTTCAATAGCTAATTGAGCATGTGATGAGAACATAGGCTGTATTTCAAGAGTGATGGTGGTCCACAAGTCAGGGATCTCAAACAATTCCCTGGTCCCAACAGAAGAATATTTGTAGCTCAGGGTTCAACTGTTGAGTTCTTGGTGCTCTCTGAGCGTGGTTGTTTTCTTTGCATTTCATTGGGTAATGAAACATCTGCCAAACAAACAAACAAACAAAAAACCACCAAGCCCAAAGAGCACCAAGGACCTGTAATTACTTGATTATTTATTCCTATACTTAATTTTAATTTTTAATACCTCCAACTCAACTGGAAAAGTATTTCTGGAGGTATTAAAAATCCACAGTACAGATTGTGCACTTTGAGGACAGAAAAGGGAATCATAAAATCCAGCCTTCTCTTCAAGGTTAAACCCTCCCCAAATTAACATTCCCCTTGCCATCTGCATTCAGAGATATGATCCAAAGAACAGAAGGTTTGACGGAGAAGCAAAACAATTCAACCAGCCACCTAACTCTTGACATCCACAACATCAATGCTAACGTTGTTTCTGGGCAGCTAACCACCATTCACTTATCCTCCCAAGCTCTGCAGCTTGGCAAAGAGACATTACTGCCTTCATTTTATAAGTGAAGCAGGAAAGAGACTTAGCTACAGCCAAGGAATGAGTCTGTTTGGAGTTGTAAGCAATAATAAATCAAAGGCAGGCAATTTAAGGAAGTACACAGACACCCTCACGGGACCACACTTCATCCACAGTAGACTAGGATAACTAATTTCCTCCATTTAAAACCCTCCTGCCAATTCATTATTTCATGTCATTATTTCCTAAATCCACCGCTGTCAATCTTTTTTTTTTAAGATTCCAATTTTAAAGAAAGATGAAGGTGCTAATGTATGTAACCCAAAAATAAATAAATAATCAACCTTTGTCCTCTCTACCATTTCTGTCATAAAGCCCACTAAACAGATTTTGGATGCTCTATGCTCACACCCAAGCATTTAATTTCTATGCAGAAAGTAAAGGGAAGACTTCTTGCATTGCCCAGGGTAAGAAAAGCATGTAGAAAAAAGACAAATATAGATCACTAACAATTCAATTGTGCATTTTCGTAATGGCATTACTGGGAACTCTTAAGATAATTCTTAGATGATTTAGATAGAGTCATGCGGAGTTGAGTGGCAAGGGGTTCATCAAGTCTCCTTGATAGTCTCCACGTGACACTGTGTATGCCAAGGACATGTTGGGTTGCATTCACAGCTTTCCATTAAGATGTACTCTTGAAATTACTAAGTGGACCCACCTACCTTTGTAAGCTGTCTTCCAGAAAAAAAAAAACTCCCCCAAAGCACGGTAAAGTTATACTAAAAACCTATTAAAGATCCAGTTATGGGCCCAGAAACAGACACTGCAGAGTCCAGCAAGCTGTACCATAAAATCAATTATACAAGCCCAGCAAATGATGTCCCAGACAGCCTGTCTAGATAGAGGCTAGCCTAGTATTTTTCGACCTTGGCATCTTGAAGGTGTGTGGACTTTAACTCCCAGAATTCCCCAGTCCACACCATCTTCAAGCTGCTAAGGTTGACAAACACCGGGCTAGACTGAGGGCCACAGTCAAAATATCCCCTTTCTCAATACCTTTCCACTTACAGTCAAACGGAGGGGAGAACCCGCAAGAGGATTTCAGGTAAAGAATATAAATAGGTAATGTAAGCCACTCTCTGCTTCTAATGGAAAAAGTGTTGGACTCTAATCCTATTTCACATTCACATCACTTCTTTTTTTCTTCCCCAGAGTTATTTGCAACACCCTGGGCAAAGGGTGAAATTTTTGCCACTGTGCGAAGGCGGAGAGGAGGACAAAATCAGGGAAGCAGATTGTTGTGGGTGTCAAAGGAGGGCAGATCACACTGTACGCCCAAAAAGATGTGGTGAAGTTTCCCCCCACACACACACACACCCCAAGATGGTTGGGCTGGAATTCTTAAGCTTCCTGGCATTGTTCAGGCTTTGCAGTCCAATTAACATCCGCTTAACCTCGTCCTTCTCTCTGCACAAATACTGTGCACAAACACTCCACTCTCACCCCACTGGGAATCCTGATCCTATATGCTCCCCTTTCTCAACCTGGGGTTTTGGGATGTTTTCAACTGCAACCCCCACAATCCTTTGTTATTTCTTTATGCTAACTGGAGCCTGATGGGCAAAGGGACCAATTTGCTTACTTTCTGCCCCAGATGCCCAGTTCAAAAAACCCCAAGCTCCCCCATAAGGGACGAAGGTTCCCACACACTCTGCCACCGCCGACAAATGACAACTGTGATGATCCCCTACTACGCAAACCCCGTTGTGACTTGAAGCTCCCCAACCCAGCCGGCCTTTCCCCTTCTCATGGCCCGAGTGGGCAGCGCAGCGCACTCCTCCCCGGCGACTCCAAGGTCAGCCTCCCGGTTCGGATCTTTGCTGCATCTGCGGATCCTCGCAGTCTACTTGTGGCCCCACGCCCCCGCACCCACCCCAGACTTATTCAGCCAGGCCAGGCCAGGCCAGGCGGAGAAGACGGAAAACCCGAAGCCCGCCACAACTACCGCGAGGCTCCTCGCCTCCAGCGGCGGAACTGCCTGAGAGGCGCAGGTGGGGTTCACACTTTTCTCAGCCTGGAGTCCTACAAATGGCTCGGACTACAAGTCCCATCTTCTTCAGGCGGCTAGCCGGAAGGCGCCAAGCGGGAGCCAGCAGTCACAAGGCAAGGGGCGGAGGGTCTGCCTTCAAGCGCCAGAGCTCGGCGCCCCCGAGAACACACCAACGCGTTGCTCCTCCGACGGGAAGATTCCTCCGTCTCTCTCCCCCCCCCCGCTTCTCCTCCAACGTGCACCGGCGAAGAGTACCTCTCGGCCGGAGAAAACGACCCGCGCCAACCGAGGGAGGCTCTTGGCTCGGCTTCCGAAGCGCTCCTCGAGGCTGCCGCTACTTGGGTGGCTCGCCTCGCCACGCCGTCTAAAAAACTCGTGGGAGCCGCAGACCTGGCCTCGTTCGGCTCGGGCGTTCTCCTGTTGCCAGCCGCCGCCTCCAGATCGAGGCGTGAGGGAGAAGGACGGGAGGGGCTACTCACCTGGGGCCGGGGCTTGGCGTTTCAGCGGCGGCGGCGGGCGCGCGAGCCCGGTTGCCGCATTTCCTTGGAGCAGCAGCCCGGGGACTCCCGCTTGCCATCATCAGTAGCAGCAGCAGCAGCAGCATCGCCGTCTTGCCGTCGCCTCCTCCTCCTCCCAGCGCCACCTTCCAGTTCGTCGGGCTTCGTTCCCGCTTGGTCCAGACCTTGCAGCCAGCGACGGGCTCGTAGCCGCGCCGCGCGCCACTGCCTGTCTCCACATCTGGAACCTGGACGCGCGCGCACGGTTTAAAAAAAAAAAAAGAAGGGGGGGGGAAGCGAAAGACAAAATCGGGAACCCGTCGCGCCCCGCAGGTGGACGGCCCCGGGGCGCCCCGTGAGCGAATTGCCTCGCGCCTGCTTTTAGCTGTGGGGAGGGGGGGGCGAACCGCTGATTGGACAAGAACTCCAGCTAGGCACGTGCTGCTCTGCAGCCCTCACCTCTGCCCTCCCGGACTGTTCAAGGGGTGTGTTGTGTATGTGTGTGGAAAGGGAGGCGCCCCCCAGAGGGGGGACATGTTCGGTGGATTTATCTCGTCACCTGCAGGGGACGCTCGAGGTGTAGAAGTATCTGGAGGGCTTCAGGATTCCGGGTACGAAGCATAGTTCTGCCCCTGCGGCAGCCGTGTCCACCAGTAACTCTCCACTGAGGATGGAAAAACCCAATAGTTGTGCAGAGTTCTGAAAAGTTTGGACTGTGGAACTGACCCATTTGGATTCAGATCTGCTCAGGAAGTGAACCCAGGCTCAGGAACTGTCAGCCTAAACTATTGCTGTGTATTTACAGGTGGTCCGTGATTCCTTCTGCTACTGAAGTTTTGGTAAACCACTAAGTGCAAGTTTGCGTGGATTGTTGCAGCACAGGCAGCTGGCAAGTTGTCTTGCATGTGTGGATGCCAATTGGGGGAGGTGCCGGGCTTCAACCAACCCCAGCTTTTGCTTAATAACGGAAGGAAACTGATCAAGGCGAGATTCATCCTAAAAATAAGGAGAAATTTCCTGACAGTGAGAACAATCAACCAACAGTTTGCCTTCAGATGTTGTGGGAGCTTCAACACTGGAAGCTTTCAAGAAAAGACTGGAAAGTCTCCTGCTTGGTCAGGGGGTTGGACTAGATGACCTATAAGGTCCCTTTCTACTCGATTATTCTAATTCTAATTCTGATTTTATCTCACAGTGGTAGGGTTTGGGCATGATTGCATACAGGCCCCAACAGAGAAGCGTCATAACACACAGCAAGCAAAGGAGCAACAAGCTTACAGTTTATTCTTCTGAAGGAAAAAAGGAGGATTACCACTTAGTATAAAACTGAAGGAGTGAAAAGCATACTTTTGTGGCTAGTGGATGGATACTTAAAGGCCAAAATATTGTTTTGCTCCTCAGTTGCCAGAAAGAGCAGTCTATCTGATTGGCTATCAGTTCTCTGTTGACTCACAAGAGAAACTTCTTGTTGTGCCATATCTGTTATTGGACGTTGGAAATCATGTTGGCGATCCTGTTTTTATCAGCAGCCGCACAAAAAAGTGCTGCTGAATTTTGTCCAAACCAGTCCCTTAGATTTTGAAGCCACAATGTTCTTCTTCTGCCTGGACCTCATTTGCCTTCTATCTTTCCCTGGAGGATTAAATGGAGTATGCTGTATTTTTCTGGGTGTCGCATCATATGTCTGAAATATTCTAATTTTTGTTTTTTAATTGTTTTGATGATTTCCCTTGGCTTTCCCAGGCGGCTGATCACCTCCTCATTTCTGATCTGATCTGATCACCTCATTTCACAAGAGAAACCTGCTATTCTAAAACATTAGAAGGCCCCCATTCCAGTCTTGCTTCATTTTGTGAGATCAGAAAACATGGAGGCTGAAACAGTGGATGATCTGGAAGTGCCCTCAGCAACTTTAAAATGTGTGGCCTTCAACTGCCAGAATTCCCTAGCTAGCACGCTGGCTGGAGAATTTCGGGAGTTGAAGCCTACACATCTTAAAGCTGCCAAGTTTGAAAAACACTGTAATGTGTGAAACCTCAGAGGAATGTATTGTTACTAAAAGGAAAATACTGTGGATCACAGTAATTACTTCTAAGGTTATGAACGGTTGCACTTACTGGAAGTTGAACTCCACACATCTTCAGCTTGCCAAAGTTGAGAAAGGCTGTTCTAGAAGAACTGTGGGATAACCTTGCTAACTCTTGGTCCTGGGATTTTGAGTGGATGATGTTTCCAGGAAAAGTTTGTAATTGTGCAAATGCCTTTACAGCAGAGGTCCCCAACCTTTTGGGCACCAGGAACCGGTTCTGTGGAGAGAGGTTTTTCTGCATCTCACAGATGGGGCTTTGCTTGTTTGTGTGGCCCGGTTGCCGGCATGCTGCGCCCCGGTACTGGTCCACGGACCGGGGGATGGAGACCCCTGCTTTATAGAATTTCATAGCAGTCCAAGTAATTATTCCTTCTTTGCCCACTGCTTCTTCCCTTTTCTCTCTTCTTGTGATAAAATAATTGTTAGGATTGAGAAGGCAAAACAACTGTCTCTTGAGCAACGCAAGAACGCCTCACCACAACCACAGCAAAAGACAGGGAAAAAAAGGCCCAGGATAGCTTTTGAGGGTACAGCAACAGAAAAACCATTTCTATCCCTTTTGGTCAACTTGTTCCTTGCTGCATCTCCTGGAAGGATGGTGGAACGTCTCAGAAGTGAGACGACACCTGGAAACACCTAGATTCTCATCCCCACTCAGTATGACCTCCCTTAGGTGACCTTGGGTGAGCAGTGCTCAAGTGAACTCTTAACACAAACATGCGTGGAAATGTATGAAATCATTAATGAATGCGATTTGTAGGCCATGCGGTGTATTTCTGCTTGGTTGATATAACGGACAGAAATAACACTGCTGCGGTCCTATAAGAGCCAGCTCCCTTAAATGTAGTACATGAATTCTGGCTGTACTTCTCCAAGTAATGTCCTAGAAAGAATGGAGAATTTTTCTTTCTTAGGAAAATTGTTTCTTAATGGCTTTGTGGAATGTCTGGTTTATGTCTGTATTTCTTTATTGGGAACTAATGATTTGGAAAGATGTGCAACGGTGTTGGGATGAAAAGCTTGGGAGGGGAAACCCATCCATCTTTAGAAAATGATGCATTTTCTTCTTTCCCAGCCCTTGCAATAAAGGCTGGCATAGAACTGGGCATCTGCAAAGAAATCCGTTGTGGAAACAAATTAAAAAGAAAAAAAGGGTATGCGAGACAGGGCGAGAGCTTCAGGCATGTGCTGAAGATACATCTGTGGAACTTTGCCGGGTAGCAGATACACTGACTTGTAAAAATGAATATTTATTTATATTCCGAATTTCTTAACTGCCCATCTCCTTCAGAATATCTCTGAGCATGAAAGAAGTTAAAAGAATGAGCACTTTTTGTAGCTGAAACTTGAACAGAGATAATTAGTGCCCAGATTGGTGGTGCTTGCTGAGAACTGACAACCAATCAGAACACACCCTTCCTGACCAATAGCTAAGCAGAGATGTCCCACCCAGGCCGAGGTCAGCATTTGTCCAGAATAGGTAGTCCTTCACTTAAGACCACAATTGGGACCAGAATTTCCATTGCTAAGCAAGACAGCTGTTAAGTGAGTCACTCCTGATTTTATTACCATTTTTGCCACCATTGTTAAACAATGTAAAAAAGATGTTGAGACTCTAGAAAGAGTGCAGAGAAGGGCAACAAAGATGATTAGGGGACTGGAGGCTAAAGCATATAAGGAAAGGCTGCTGGAATTGGGTATGTCTAGTTTAATGAAGAGAAGGACAAGGGGGGACATGAGAGCAGTATTCCAATATCTCAGGGGTGCCACAAAGAAGAGGGAGTCAAGCTATTCTCCAAAGTGCCTGAAGGCAGGACAGGAAGCAATGGGTGGAAACTAATCAAGGACAGAAGCAACGTAGAACTAAGGAGAAACTGACAGAACAATTAACCAATGGAACAACTTGCCTCCAGAAGCGGTGAATGCTCCAACACTGGAAGTTTTTAAGAAGAGACTGGACAGCCATTTGTCTGAAATGGTGTAGGGTTTCCTGCCTGAGCAGGGGGTTGGACTTGATGACCTCGAAGGTCCCTTCCAACTTTATTATTATTATTAAATCACTGCAATTGTTAAGCGAATCATGATGTCATTAAGGGAATCCAGCTTGCCCTGTTGATTTGGCTTATCAGAAGCTGGCAGGGAGGATCACTAATGGCGATCACTTGACCCCGGAAGGCTGCACCTCTCGTAAATGCATGCTGGTTGCCAAGTGCCTAAATGATGACTGTGTGATTGTGGGGTGTTGTGATGGTCATAAGTGTGAGGACCAGTCAGGTTATTTTTATCAATGCTGTTGTAGCTTTGAATGGTCAACTAACTGAATGGTTGTAAGTCAAGTACTGTAATTTATATGCCAGAAACCAATCTCTCTTTCAAAAGTAAAAAAAATGCACTGAAAATGTCCACTTTTGTACCATTTTTCCCGCAGATATATAATATTTTGTCCCACTTATTGTCTTGCTGTTACATGGGTCAGGAGCTGTGAGGCGGGCAGGTCAGACATCGTCACCAGTGGAATGAAATGCAGCATCATTAGGCGGTATCATCAGAAATTCCTCCTTTGCAGAAATATACCTTGGGTGCCAATTGCTCCTGGATTGGGAAGCCCTATTCATGCCCCTAGTTACTCCCCTAGTAATAGTGTCTAGTCTACTGCAATGTGCTGTATGTGGGGCTGCCACTGAAAACCACATGGAATGGAATGGAGTGGAGTGGAGTGGAGTGGAATAGAATAGAATAGAATAGAATAGAATAGAATAGAATAGAATAGAATAGAATAGAATAGAATAGAATAGAAGCTGGAAGGGACCTTGGAGGTCTTCTTGTCCAGCCCCCTGTTCAAGCAGGAGAACCTATACCATCTCAGACAAGTGACTATCTAGTTTCTTCTTAAAAACCTCCAGTAATGGAGCACTCACGATTTTTGGAGGCAAGCTGTTCCACTGGTTAATTGTTCTGTTATGAAGTCTCTCCTTAATTCCAGGTTGCTTCTCTCTTTGGTCAGTTTCCAACCATTGTTTCTTGTCCTGACCTCTGGTGCTTTGGAAGTTGATGCAGCCATGTAACACCACTGCTTTGTGAGCACACCAGTTCCTTATAAATTTCTGGGTGCAATTCAAAGTGCTGATTATCCCCTACTGGTATAATCTCTTCCTGGTATATAGCTGGGTTATTTACAGGACGGCCTGTCTCCAATTTTTTTTGCTCTGTCAGCGAGATCAGGTGTGCTTCAGGACCCTTCCACGAAACCGTGCCGCCTGGTGGATCCAAGAAGTTATGCTTTCTCTGTGGCAGTGCCTGCTCTCTGGAATATCATCCCACCCACACACACACCCCAGATTCAGATGGTCCCCCGTCTTTTGTCCTTCCTCAACAGTCTCAAAACCTGGTGCTTTCCCTAAACATTGGGCCAGATCTTGGAGAATCTAAGAATGAGCTCTGTGTTGGTTGGCTTCAGTTGCTCCTGTTATTACTTCTGTTACTCTGCTAACTTGTCATTGTTTATGTTCCAAAGGTTTATTAGATCATATTGTATTTTTAGTTTCCCGTTTTCATGTTTTCTTTAAATTATATAAGCCACCCTTGGTTGCTGTTGCAAATGAGGCACCCACATATATCAAGCAGGTAAGAAAAAAACTGGGCTGCATTAACAGAGGGATAGAATCAAGATCACGTGAAGTATTAATGCCACTTTACAATGCCTTGGTAAGGCCACACTTGGAATACTGCATCCAGTTTTGGTCACCGCGATGTAAAAAAGATGCTGAGACTGTAGAAAGAGTACAGAGAAGAACAACAAAGATGATTAGGGGACTGGAGGCTAAAGCATATAAGGAACGGTTGCTGGAATTGGGTATGTCTAGTTTAATGAAGAGAAGGACGAGGGGGGACATGAGAGCAGTGTTCCAATATCTCAGGGGCTGCCCCAAAGAAGAGGGAGTCAAGCTATTCTCCAAAGCACGTGAAGGCAGGACAAGAAGCAACGGATGGAAACTAATCAAGGAGAGAAGCAACCTAGAACTAAGGAGAAACTTCCTGACAGAACAATTAACCAGTGGAACAACCTGCCTCCAGAAGCTGTGAATACTCCAACACTGGAAGTTTTTAAGAAGAGACTGGACCGCCATTTGTCTGAAATGGTATAGGGTTTCCTGCCTGAGCAGGGGATTGGACTAAATGACCTCCAAGGTCCCTTCCAACTTTATCATTATTATTAAGTCCTCCTCCGCAAAACATATAACTGCAGCAATTCGGCAATAGGGGGTTAAGTATGATGGAAAAGACATAAGAGTGTTAAATGGCTGCTGAGAAGTTCATTTTTTTTCTTTGAGAGATTGGAATCCATGGCTGGTTATGGCGGGGTTTTTCCTTCTGGCAACAGCCTACAATCTTCTTGACAAGGTTTTTCAGAAGTGGGTTGCCCTTGCTTTCT